GCTTGATAGCAGTATTACACGACGGACCTCGTCGTAAAAATTCCATAACGTGTAATGGAGGGCTCGTAAATATTTATCTTTTCCTAAGTTGGCGCGCTGCGTTAAGCTTGCGCACGAGAAACGCAACGAGAGCCGCGGAATACGTCGGGTAACCCTTGACGCGACTCAGAAATGCAGAAAGTTCCCGGGTCTTGACTATAATGCTCGGTGACCAGAAGTAATCTCATTAGCCGTGTCGTAAACTCATCTAGCAATTCGCAAAGAATCCTCGCCTAAAATATGTACTTGCGCGTACATAATCGTGCAAGCTGCTTTAAAGCCGTGGCTAATTCTAGAAGAGAGCCTCCCATCCGAGAATTTACGTTTCCGGCCCATTAAGCGATTTGAAGGTGCTCCGCACGCTTACGTGCGAACTCGCGTACATGTACGGATCGTCGTGGTACGAACGGATTGAATGTATCAACGATACGAAGATCGTCCGATCAATTTGAGATTGTGTGTGCGTGTGTCGTCCCGGATAAAGATATCGAAACATTGATCATTTCGCAGACAAGCACGCAAAAGCGACGCTACGCCGAGCATGATACACGCGTTGCACGTAATCTTAAAAATGGATCGCGAGCGGATACAGAAGAAACACCTACCGAGAAGCCGAAGAGATACATTAAATTCACAGAGACGTCCCGCGCTACGGGGAATGCAGCGACGACAAAATCAGCCGTACCGCTCGCGCGATCCGACGCAAAACAGCCGCGAGGTGGCGGGGATTCGCAAACCGCGCGCCATATGGCGGGATCTTCCCGTTCAGGAAACTCGCTAGGGTCCGCGAAATTAGCCGCAGATACCCGGGATTCCGCTTGCATAAGCGCCGTCGCAAAAACTCAGAATTCGCGAGAAGGATGGCCACCAGAGTGAGGCGGGGGAATTATAGCGACAGATTTGCAAGTGAGCGCTGTACAGGGACGCACGATGATTTTTCGTAGCCGAACCTTCGCAGCCAATAACCTTCGAGGATTTTACAACGGAAGAGCGTTATTGAACGAGCGCATGTGTTCCGACCGACCCCTGCCCCCCTCCTTTACGCCGTGTAATTCGAGAAACTATCTGGGCCATTTCCGAATCTGCAAGATCCACAGATCAGGCGCACGAGTGACTCACGACAGACTCTCTCGGCGTTTGCTGATCATTTTCTGATACCCAGCAGACGTGCGATTAAAAAAAAAAAAAAAAGAAAAGCGATATTAAAGAAACCGTATATTTATTTTCCGGGTATACAACTTGGAGAAAGATTTACTACTGTGCACAAAATTATATCCCGCGAAGTCTCTGCAGTTGTGTGCACATGACATAAGTTTCGGTAGCTTTTACATAGATCCGTCCTTGTAAATGCGTCCCTGTAACAGCAGAACAGGACACGCGGGAAAGAGATACGAAACAACGAAGAGAGAGAAAGATGAGGAGAGGCAGAGACAGAGAGAGAGAGAGAGAGAGAGCGCGCAGGGATGGAATAGTGAGAAAAGAGAGCGGAAGCAGGGAGTAAGGCTCTTGCAAAACATACGCGGCTGAATCTGACACATCCTCTGGCAGTCTGTTGGGTTTTCCAGGATGGCGAGGGGGCGTACAAATCTAGACGGTTACTTACTGACACACACAGCATTTTGCTGTCGCGCCGAACTTTCTCGCTCGCACTCGCGCCCGCGACCATAAGCCCTTCGCCGAGGTTCTCCCTCTCGCTGCCTCTCATCTCCACCCTCTCGACGGTATTGTATTGTATTAAAGCCGCGGCTCGTGTTGCGGCTTGACAAAAGCAGGCGCACGACCTACCTACCTACCTACCTACCCCATTCACCCCCGTCGTGCGCCTCTACCTCCTCTCACCGTCCTTCCTCCGCCATCCTCCTCTGCAACTCTCGTAATCGCCACCCTCGTAGTCGCGCACCCCCGTCGCGCTGCGGAGTCCAGAACACGCTGTATTATTCACAGAGTAATTTAAACCGCAAATGACAGATATCCTAAATGCCCTCCCGGCCCGATCGACCGTTCCAACCCGGGCTCCCGTCGTCTTGTCATGCGTGACAGCCGCAACAGGCGGATTAACGTTCACACGAAGCACGGTGAAGGATATGTATTCACGTAAACAGCGAGCGAACTCGCGGTCGTCGTGGAGCAGCGATCAGATTCGATTATTGATACACGGATGGCTCTTTAATCGATACGTTATCACACCGCAACATGCACCGCGCTTACCGTTTTCCCGTCTTCTCATTTATACGCTGATACTTGCTGTTATTACGAGAAATATTTCTGAATGTGCCCGGGTAGAAATTTAAAACGAGGACTGGAAAGGACCTACACAATTTTCCTCGTATCTAAGCCCTATAAAGGCAGGCTCATTTAAGCCTACCTGCACAGAAATTCCGAGGAAGAGCTGCGTTAATCGCAACAGGAATGAAATCGCAATTATTCTGTTTGCGCATTAAGGATATCCACTTTTCTACCGGACGATTTGCCAAACTTGGTCCTTCCGTCATCACCTTTCTCGATCCTACCCTGCCTTCAAGTTTCAAGACGAACCTCCATCTCCGACTCCATCAAAAGTGCTTTCAACCCTTATCAGACACATCTGACTCTGACACGTGATTCGAATTTGCCGTGTCTACCTGCGGTGTCAGCGAGCCTCTTTAAAGTTGTGACGTAGCCCTATTAGAGAAATCCGGCGGAATCGCTTCGAGAAATATGCAAGGCCTCGCGAAATAATGATATTCTCAAACGCGTGAGTGATGACTCGAGTGACGCGAAATACACGCGGCACGCTCTAACAGACGTCGTTGAGAGAGGAGACTCCGACGTTCGAAGTTCACTTATGCCCGCTAGAAGGTTACCGTATCTTTGCAGGGACGATTTCGATATTGTTATCAGCGAGGACAACGCTTTGGAAAAATCAAGTCTGTCGAGTCTGCCGAGTGAGGTGTGTACGAGCTGGTTGCTGAAAACGTTCGCAAAGTATATGAGCGAGAACAATAATCGTACGCAGCGTCTGAACAACGAAAGCACGCTCATGTATACCTTCGAAAAGCGCTCGCTGAAAATTGTCCTTAGTAAATCTCGCGTGCGCGCGCCCGAGAAGCGTAGCGGCCTGAAAGGCAACTTCTCGTGACTTTTCCGCTAGACAACGTGCATGATGTACTACTGTTCTCGGCCTTTACAGCAAGGCGACACCGTGTACGATGCGGCTCGAATTAACGAGAGGCTTTTCGTATCTCGGCGTTATTACGGCTCTAAGTAATGCGCCACGCTTAAACCCGTATTTACGACGACCATGTAAAAACCTTTTGTCTTCGAGCACGGGACGTTTCTCTTGGCCGATCGATGGCGCGGCGTCAGAAATTTTTAATTTATGTCGCACCGCAACCGAGTGCGAGCAACCGCGTGCAATTTTATTTGCCCCGTAAAACCGCAACGCTCAAAAAAAAATAAAAATAAAAAAGAAAAGAAAGAAGAACGAAGAGAACCTCGCGAGAATTTTTTCTCGTTCGATCGTGCTCCCGAATTTATTCGAAGGATATATATCTCCCGCGACTGAAGCTTCGTAAACGAATAAAAATCAACACGTGGACTTGCATATGTTCTTCTTTAAGAAAAATAAAGACGTTTTGCGTGTAACTCTTTCTCTTGAATTTAAATTATTACTTTTTCTTGACTGCTAACTCTTTTCCTTGATTTATCGTCACGCTGTTAATATATGTATGATACAGGATTTGACATCAATATAAATGGTTAGTTGTGAATATTAGTGAAATATATTAGTTGTGATGTATTTCATTAATAATCACTCACTAAATCTCATATTCTAAATTATTACAATACTGTTATGAAAAGTGAATTCATAATATGTTTTTTCATAACTATGCGTTATTAAATGTAGTATTAATTTGGTTATTAATTTTCATAACTCGGTTATGTGTAAAAAACTTCAGAACCAAATTATTAAATTTAGTATGTATTTTTCTAGAAATATACGCAGAATTAAATATTGTAGAAGAAAGAGGGAATGAATTACACGATACACACACATACATATGCATACAGGCACAACGGAAGATATCAATTAAGCCAATAAAATTCTTTGAAAGCAAATAAGTTTCCTCCAGAGACGGAAATTCCCTTTTGAAATAGAGCACCGATATTTCTTCGTTTCCAGCAACAGCCTTACCATCCACGCTCAACCGAGGACCTTCGCTCTCCTTGTAACGAGAATAGGAAGGACGAGTCATATGTCGAAGGTAATGGTGCGTCAGTGAGTGATTTGTCTCCACCCACCCGTTTTTCCGTGCGTTTATATTTTTCCACCTTTTTCCATCTGTTACTCTTCCTGTCTCGTTCGTAATTTGGATATTTTTATAGTTAAAATAAAAACGCGCATAAATATACATACACTTACACGGAATACATATGCGATGCGCGTCGTAGTTGTAACCCGATTCGCGTTAAATCTCATTAAACTTAGAGCAGATGTAAAATAAAAATGTAAAAATGAGACAAAAAATGAAGCGACCGTATACAGCGCAATCGTGTTTTTGCTGAAATTAAGAAAGAGTCTTCAATTTCCTAAATTGCGAGGAGTCCTCAGAAAGATCGCATGGGTTTCATTATTGAAATTGGTCACTTTGGAGATGCTTTCGGCATCGCATCTCCACTTTCCGCTACGTCGTTTTCTACGAACGCGATCACGAATTACTGAATATCTTCCGACAGCGCCTACACTGTTCGTCGGCGACGTGAGGATATGCGACTTGATTGCTCGTACTCTCATCGGGCGATAACGGAATAGATTCGTTGAATTCATCGTGTGAATGGTATCTTTGTATTCCCGGCGAAATATAAAAATAACGCGCGCGCGCGCACCCGAGGCCTGCATTATTTCTCTCCCAAAGCTGAGTGAGAAGCACCCGACCAATGGACAACTCGTTCACTTATTTACCGTGGCTCCAAGCAAACTGATCGTGGAACATGTATTGAATTCTTCATACGGACCGGCTCGCCTTTTTTCCGTCGCTTTCCGGGTTCGTTTTAAAAATTCCTGCGAGGGACCGGTAGCCTCGATTCTTTCCGTGAAAGATTGAACGGGCCGTTTCGCGTCCACGTACGAAAGTGTTCTGTGCCAAGATGCGCGCCGTGACGCTCGTATTGCTATCAGTTTCACTATTCTGCGCTTCTCACCGGCACAGCCACGGATATAACATACTGGGCATTTGTCCGAGCGCAAGTTACAGCCACCAACAGCCGTTTCAAGCATTGATGAGAGCACTGGCGGCCCGTGGCCACAATGTTACCGTCGCATCAACAATTCCCTTAAAGGTATGTCGATATTTCTGCTCCCTCCTTTCGTTCACTAACGCTTTCTTTTCACTGAAACGCGATTTTTACTTTCGACGCGAACGATGCATCGTCTGTCGTCTGTCTCTGCCTAAACGTTCTGCACTCGCGATCGTATATCAAAAATGATCATACGGACGAGGAACGGCAAGAAGTTTTGGAAACGCTTCGAGCATTGTAAAGTTTTATTTCGAGTGCAAAACGAACGTGGATTGTCATTTGAGATTTAACGTTACATCAGTCGGCGTAATAACGTATGACGCGCCGAAGATATTAGCATTTTTACTGTCTATTCGAAACTCGCGCGGGAGATATTGCAAAAAGTCTCTGCCGCCCGCCCGCGCACCGGCGCTGTGTAACGGCCCGCTTATCGTCGCTTACGAAAATTGTCACCGACAAAGCCGCATTGTGCTCGCCGAAGAATCGCGGTGTCGCAACATTCTCACAAGTTCGCCGTTATTTCCAAGTCCCGATAAACTTTGCAACTTTAGCCGTATCCGCGAGTATTTCTTCGGCCCGTCAACGGTCCGTTTACGCGGCTGAATAAAAATGTTACGGCCCGAATCGCGCGCGACGTTTTACTCGATTTTGCGCTCAGCCCGGGCTAATCACTTGAAATAAATTTTACAATCAGACGATGGAAAAATGTTCCGAAAATACCGTAGATTGATGGATGGATATTTTATTTACTCGATGCCTGCGTATCCCCGCTCTCTCTTTTACCTCCCATCAATCCACTTTCTCCATTTATATCTACTCTCTTTTTCGCTGATATTCGTCTCTCAGTTTCTCCCAGATCGTTCTACTGACATCTCACTTCTCTCCCTTGTTTCATTCTTTCGCTTATCCATCCTCCCCTCTTTCTCTCTCTCTCTCTCTCTCTCTCTACCCTGTTTCTCTCTATTTCTCTCTATCTCTCCTTCTCTCTAAACTCGAGTTCAAAGTTACACAAACTTCGTTTAGCTTCAATTTACTTCTACTAACATTTCTATTTGCTGAATGTGTCTTCCCACGGCTTGATGGTTCTGTTTCTTTCGCTGCAAAATTAGGCATTAAATTGTTCCCGTAAACTGGATAAAACCCAACTAATATAATTGTCTCTCACACGAACTGTTGCGGCACTTTATTGCTTTTTTCCCTGAATTTGCAACATTCACTTTGATCCACTTCCAAAATTTTTTTTTTTTCTTTTTACTGACTCGTCGTTTACAAATTCTGAAATTGATACTGCTTTATTGAATTAGCTTTCATTGTGTTTTCTCCCATTTTGAAATAAAAAAACAAGTAACGTGATATCACATGCGATCAATATCACATGTCATCAAATTTTCCATACCTGACTGATAATTTCGGTTTTTTTTTACATTCTAGAATCCTCCGCCCAATTACAGGAACGTGGACTTGTCATTTTCATATCGGAAGGAGGATTGTACAAGTTTGAGGTATGAGCGTTTAACCCCACATTTAACATATTTCACGCACAAATCGATACGTAGCATAATTTTTTCCATTCTAGATTCAATAAGAAATTAATAATCTTGAACTTTTACTTTGAACAGATATATGGGAGCCTACGCTATACTCCATAAAAACATGCAGGAAGCGAACGAATTGTGCAAGAAGCAATTATTCAGTCCCGCTATCAACGATCTTATAACGTAATGCAAACGTCGCTCGTCATTCTCGACCATTCTCATTTAAACACGTAAATTCGCAATTGCCCACCAAGTATTTGTAAAAATCGACTCGCGACGTTGAGTAGGTCGGTGCGCATCGGTCACGCGAAACACGTCTGCGAAAAGCGTTTCCGTCGCGCGCGTCGTTAATACGCGCACGAAAATCGCGACGACTTTAATAGCCCAACGGGTATTCCACTGAAACAAATCTCGCTCGCACGTTTGTTTGCAGGGCCAACGAGACATTCCACGCGGTCATTATAGAGCAATTATGGTACCAGTGTTATTACGCCCTCGTAAAGCACTACAACTTCCCGGTGCTGATGGGATTTTTGAGCGTCGGCAACCTGCCCTACGTAATGGATTCCGTGGGTGAGCACGTCGACGAGAAGGCAGAGAGACGGAGAAGGCGGAGAAGGTCGGCGATTATGTATCGGCCTACGAGAATTTTATTAGTTTGCAAAAGTCACCCGGTGGTAACGACGGCAGCGGTGTACGAGCCTGGCTGGGCGGTCGTTTCGCGACGTCTTTTTCTAGCGGGGGGGGGNGGGGGGGGGGGGGGGGGGTCGCACCCCCGGGTGGCACCGGGCGAACGTCGTTACTGCGCGCGGAAATTGACGTAAATTGTCGGCAAAGCAGAAAGTGCGAGCAATCGGAGACCAGGTCTTCGTGGAAAAGGATAGATTACTCGGTAGTGCTTTAACTTGTACCGGTCTGACCCGACGAGCGCGGGAGAAGAGGTGGCGAGGGACGCGCCACAGCTAGCCGCCATTCGATTCCTTTACCTCGACGTAATTGAAGATACCCGAAAGTACTCTTTCCGGATGAACGTAATAGACCGTGAAATGGATCGCTGCGGCTGCTAGTGAAATATTTCAATTAAAGCCCGGGCGAGTTTTGAGAAAGCGGACGCCTATCGAGAAAGAGCGAGGGGGGGAGAGAGAGAGAGAGAGAGAGCGAAAGCGAACGGTAACTTTCTCCACGTTGATCCGACCCAATCACACGAGCGGAGTTTTCGAAAAATAGATATCCGATCCGCGCGACACGTCGAGCTCCTATTTCTGGATTTGGGAAGAAGTTCACCGCGCAATAACGTATCTTTGTTCATCCATCAATTCGTCCCCGGACAAAAGCGAGAGCCACGAGAGAGTAGTTAGCGTGAAGCAACTTCGACAAACGAATTGTACAGTGAAATATTTCTCCGTCGTAACGATACACACGCCATAAGTCCAATAATTTATATTTCACGATTAAAGAATACCTTTTTTTATATATTGGGTATGAGACAGACGCGGTTCTCATATTGTCTCCGCGATTTACATTTGACTTGAAGGATGTCATTACTGTGTTAAAAAAAAGAGAGAGAGAGAGAAGATGACTAGCATTATTACTGGTTGACAGGAAACCCAGACGACCCCAATATGAATCCGGACATGGCGTACCCGTTCACGGACAGAATGACACTGAACGAGCGTATACGGAATACCCTTTACACAACGTGGACAAGATTGTATTATCGATACTGGCACCTGCCACGAGCTCAACACATCGCTAACGAATGGGCGCCCGGTACATCTGTCTATGACATCGATAAGAACTTTAGCCTAGTGATTTTGGGGAACAATCACGTGTTCGGCTATCCGAAACCACTACTGCCGCACGTGATCGAAGTCCACAGTTTGCAAATAACGGAAAAGCCCGATCCCCTGCCCGAGGTAAGGATATTTAGCTTATTTGCGAAAGAGAAGAAAAATGATCGAAAAACATAACAGGGGGAAAAGTGTATAAACGACTGCGACACCGCGGAGAAGGAAACAGAGGTTTTACAATCATCCCGTCGAGAAAGTAACGAGGCTGAAACTAATAATTATATGACTTTGCTGCATATTAAGTAATACCGCGGGATTTAATTAACGTGACGTAAAATCGTACTGGGCGCGATATAATCCTATCTTACAATATTTCAAATGCAAAACTGTGGGCACAGCTTATATTAACAGTTACCTCCCCTCCCCTATATTACTACCCTCGCTTACTTCGAACCACTTTTAATCGCTCATTTACAACGGGAATGGATTACAGAGATATAAAGTGAAGTTGGGCAATTTATCGAGTTAGGGATACACTGACATTTAATATCTCCTGTTTTAGCGAGAGTTGCTATTAATCGCGTCAATTAAACCTTCGTTTTTCGCAGTTTCTGAGCGCACCTCGGAAACAGGCTAAATTGTGTGTCGCGCGAGAATGATTTCTCCCGGGAAAATACGTACTATTCTCGCGGGTGACCGGCAATAGTCAGCCGGCAGAAGTTTGCCGACGACTCAGCGCCGGGCGACGTAAAAGTAAACGTCATTGCTATTTACCGCGAACCGTTGTAAGCCTCCCGAGGGCCGACTGGAAAAATATTATCGGAAGAGTATTTCGCTGAAGATCCTTCCCGTAGAAAAAATAACTGCGAAATCGTCTCTAACAGCATAATAGCGTCAACCGTTTATGGACAATCTGGGAGTGTATCGTCATAAATGTTCTCTCGCAGCAATTCCCCACCAGCAGCATCGACTCATGAACAGCGAATAATTGTTCGATTAATGAGAGAATATTCTTTTAATCGAAAACAGAACTAAAGACAGATGGAAAATGTCAGTTATGTATTGATAATATACTTGATTGAGAGTTACACGTGAAAGTCCGCGAATAAATTTCGAAATATCAAAGAAGAGAATAATTCGATACGAACGCATGGAAAAAAGTAAGGTGAAATCCAATTTCATAGCCTTTCTATCGTATTAGAATTGAAATCGTCTGATTATCACGAGGACAATGCACGATAGAAGGTAACTGCAGTTACCACGTGATCCCGAACGATGTCGAGATGCGGAACGTGACCGCGACAATGTGTTCGTCTTTATACACATACACCTGAACGTATCGAAATCCATGAGAGGTTGTAATTAATAGGACAAAGCCTTTGGCTACGCATTGTGCATATGGAGCCACCATTGCCCTGTCTTCCATAAAAGCCGGGCACAGGCTTCGCAATTAACAAAGGAAGTTGCATTATCAGTAATATCAGTCGCATTAATAGTACAATCGGCTCCATTTGCATCCTATCGTAGTACTTGCTAACACAATCTTTGCGAATGTACGAAGAACATTTCGTGGACAGACGTACTTCATAAAACGATAAGGTCATTATGAGGCAAATGATATTTCGACGTAAAATTGCGTTTGCTTTAATGTAAAAAAATTAATCGCAAAGGAAATATGGACGAATATCGAAGTACGTGTACGTTTTGAAAATCATATCACAGGATAAAATAGCAAGATACGTTCTTTGATTATCGTAATGGCGGTAAATGTAGATTAGTTAAATATAGATTAATTAGCGAGTGAGAAATATGAACTCTGCCTCACATATGCACACATACATAATAAAAAATTTTGTGCTAAAAACGGTCCATTTAAATTTTTGTCTTTAACATAGGAAATATGTTAAAAAGTACACAAATATATATTAATTAACCATTAACCTTACAATATAACCTTACATTATAAGGTTAATGGAATCTTATTTCAATACTTCCTCGTCTCTAAATATCGGCGAACGAAATGACGCCGAAATAAAGCGATAGTGAAGCCTCGATCGTCGGAAGGTCGACGCCTCCGATACGGAAATGTTGCCGAGCTTTTTCGTATCGATTCGGTATTAGATGCGACAACGAAATGAACCGCCGTGCGAAACACCATCACGTCTATCTGCCGTATCTCCCTCATTAAGACGTATCGAAATTTTTGTCCCCGTCCCAGGAGATTCAGGAGTTCCTGGACAACGCTCAGGATGGCGCTATTTATTTCTCTCTGGGCTCGAATCTGCAAACTCACCAGCTACCCGCCGGGCCTTTGACCGCATTGTGCAACGCCCTGAGCTCGCTCAAGCAAAGAGTTCTATGGAAACACGGCGGAAACATGGCCATTCATCCGGCCAACATCAAATTTGTGAAGTGGGCGCCCCAGCAAGCAGTCCTCGGTAAGGCTGCCCAAGGCTAAACTGACCACCTCTTTACCTCGCTCTCCGCGAACGGGGGGATCAACCGCCGGAATATGCACTTACAACGCGGTTCGATGAGAAACATTTTGTGCCGGAATTTCTTTTGTGCTCGCAGATAGGGAATCAACTAGATTATGAAAACAATAGACCGGTAGAATTCATCTCGCAAATTTCATCTCGAATTTCCTGTGAAGCCGCGCCTCCTCGTCACGTTTGTAACGCGATCCGCGCGGCACGTCTGTTCTTAATTCTTAAAACGAATCCATTGGATCGACGAATTTGAATCGTTCCTTCAAGGAAACGTCAGAGAACCATTATCTTTGTTATTGCAACTTTCCAGTAATTAATATTAATTATATATCACTCAGATTTCGAATCCTGAAAGAATGAGAAGTTCGTTTGAATTTAAGTGAATAATGAACATTTGTTATTTAATTTCGTCCGACAGGATCATTCCTGATTCATTAACTCGACATTTTCATACGTTAATTAAAGATACAACCATTTTATTTGATCCAAACGAGATTTGAGCACTCCATTATCAAGCTGATGGAGTAAATCGGTATTATCGATCGATTCGAACCATATCGCGTAATTGCGAATAAAGAAGCCGCGTCTTCGACTACCTCGACTGAAATATACTAAAACTTTTCCAGCACGGGCGAAATACAAAATCCCAATTGTTCGATAACAATCTCGCGAGAAACCCCGTGTATTGTCAGAGTACTCGATTGCTCGCTCGCTATTATCATAAACGAGCTCGGAAATACTCATACTTCAGCGATTACATACTTTTATTTTGTTGATGCATATACTAGCCGGGCTCGCGTTCCCCGCTCCTCGCGGATTCGTTAAGTGAAATTCAACGGTACGAATACGGCGAGGCAGACGACGACGACGACGACCGCGTTACCGACCATCGCTGCGCAAATATTTAACAAAGTTGCGCCTTCGACTTTGACGCCGTTTTCACCTACAAAAGACATTAATTTTCCTTGGTTAGGCGCAACACTCTTTAACCGCAATCTCCTTCACGGTCCTGGAGTCTTTAAACGATTCGAACCTAATTACACGATTACGTAGCGCGGCTATTTCCCGGCCCGGCTTGGCGTGGCCAAAGATGGAACAAATTTCCTTTATATCGGGCAAATCGTGCGACTGGATCTCGGCCGAACAAAGTCCCGACGATCGAAACGGTATCGCCGCGTTTCCAAATGATCATCAAAGCCCCGTCGTCTACCGATCGAGATCGCGTTACTCGGATGTTTGAATTCGAGAGAGCAACGTTTGCCTTCCTCTCTACCGTGGCACATCAAAGAGAAAAGTAACATAGAATATAAGAAAGGTCGATGCACACGTCGATACCAGGCTCTCTCTCTTTCTCGCGCGCGCGCCTTTGGTAGAGCGAAATCCGTTATTTTTGTGAAAGCCGCTTAAGGGTAAGTATTGAAACCGACAAAAAAAGGGAGAAGAGCCACCGGCAACACCGCCGACCAAGGAAAATACGACCACGGGCTCGTACAGAGCGGAACGAAGCGAAACGATAACTCATGACGCATGCGGCGGTGAAATTCTCGCGGGAAATTCTGACAAACAACTCCTGTCGGCAGTAACGCACGGCCTCGATGCAAATGCACAAGCGTACACAAAGTTTTGTGCGCATTGATAGACAGACGGCGGTTGCCAGCATCGAGAACGTACTAATGTTGGAAATGCGGACTAATGACTGGGAGAAGTAACGTGATTAAAGGGAGTTCCCAGGGTTTTCTTTCGCATTATCGATCGCGGCTCATTTCATTTTTTAGTGTGTCTATTCTCAGATTTTGACGATAACTGGATATTGCATATAATATCAAATTTTTAACGTGCGATCTCGCAAACGTCCGATATTTATCTCGACGGATCTCTCGACAAGTCTTGAATTGAATTTTCCTCAAGAATTATGCAATTTGTCAATACGTGACATGAAAAGTCTAATTAAATTTTGTAGTAAAATTTCGGGAAAGACCGTTTAAATTTAAACGGACGATAAAATCTTATTATTTTATCGCACTTCAGAAGAGCTCGATTTTCGGCAAGTCTTCCATTTTCATTCCGCGAGACTTTTAAGAACGTATAATCTGGTAAATATCAAGAGAGACATGAACGCATGTACCTATCACGCGCATTTCCAAGCTTGAAAAGATAAAATGTATTTTTTCCGATTGGGAAATGTATCATGTTACACATAATGAAAAAATCTCACTTCGGTGTGTTCGTGCGCTACAAAAAAAAAGCACATCAGAGGGAAGAGAGAGAGAGAGAGAGAGAGAGTTTTCAACTTCGTCGAAAAAATTCCGGACGCGTTGATACTCGAACGCGATCAATCGACCGTAAAGAGCGATGCGAAAAAATAAATATGACAATGCGCACATTTTGATGAAATCTCGCGCGTCGCTCGTCTCTCGGTCGCGATCAACGCTGAAACTTCGTTCCTCGCTCTTCCCGCTCTTTCCCTTTTTTTTCCTCCATTTTCCTTCCTTTTCGTTTCGCTTTCCTCTTTTTTTTTTCTTTCTTTTCCTCGTGTCGCTTTGTTTTTTTTCCGCTGTCCGCACGCGCCGATCCACGTCGTATGAGCGCTCGACAAGCAAATAATCCGTGGAGCATCATTTCACGATACTTTATGTACTTACGTCGCTTTCATATATGCAGCGCATCCCAAAGTGATGGCGTACGTGATGCAAGGCGGATTGCAGTCGTTGCAAGAGGCGGTGCACCACTCGGTGCCCGTAGTCGCGATCCCCTTTTTCGGGGATCAACTTTTCAACGCACGTAAAATCCTAGACGCTGGTATCGGACTGACACTGGACATCGACACCATGACCGAGGACTCCATCGTACAAACGCTCGCGGAGGTCGTCGAAAATAAAACGTGAGCACGCGACGCGATTCTAACGAAATCGCTTCGAGGATGTGACTTTTCGAAAGTTAATCCCGACGGCACTTCGTCATTTCGATCGCCATTCTTGCGACCGTACGCATTTACGGATGATATGTGGCGACTGGATCAAAAATTCCTGGATTTTCTCGAAAAATATTTTTAGAATATTTGAAATCACAGAAAATCACTGTCCAATATCGAATGGCGTCAATCAAACTGCGTGTTGCGACAAATGTGTTGTTGATCTAAAGGTTCATTAACGATTGGTGATCTCCTTTATCTCTGCACACCAACCTCAATTTTACATCATTATATCACTTAACGCGTTATATAGTTTGCGAGCTCTTAATTCATACTCAATAATGTGACTAAAATTAAAGGGTTAACGCATTTTGATTAGTTTATCTTTAAAAAAAAATGACGTCTTGATATTAAAAAGGTTCAAAAAGCTTAAATTTATACGTATGGTAAAAAATTTGGTGTTAAATTTAATACAATTCATATATCTCAAACGGTCTATACAAATTTTTGTGTTAATTTATTTATTTACAAGTATATGTTGACAAGTAAATAACACAAATATTATATAAAAAATTAAAACAAAATTATAATACCCATAATATGTTAATCGACACTGAAGTATAAAATGTGTTATTTTAACACTTACACATGTTAAATATCGACTCAACACAAAAAAGATAACATAAACACAGTATGTTAAATCAACATACTGGTATGTTAAATACTTAACACAAAAATTTTTAAGACTGATTTTTGTACAAGCACAAAATGTTTTTATCGCATAAATTGATAAAGAGAATACTAGACTAGTATAGAGAATACTAATATAAGATAAGATAGTTTAAGAGAATACTAATATAAATTGATAAAGAGAATACGCGTTGTCTTACGAAAGTTTTAATCACAGGTATCTGAACAACATCAGAAGAATGTCGGCGATTATACAAGACGAATTAGTGAAGCCTATGGAAAAAGCGGTATGGAGCGTGGAACACGTATTGAAGTTTTCAGACTCAAGACACTTGAGATATCACGGACGTGATATATCATGGGTAGATCATTATGCGGTATTTATGTGTTTAAATGTATCTCTCGTCACTTTATTGTATATCAGCTATCGAATTATCATCGCTTTTATCAAGTGCAAATGGATAGTTGACTTAAAAGAGAAACTCGAGTAGCAAGTAGAATTTACGATATCAATCATGAGACAAAAATCAATTGTGTGCGGAATACGAGGGGATCTATCTTTTCTAATATAACATTACTCTCACGTAATATGCTTGCAATATAATCATATATGTTAAATAACGGGAAACAACATTGGAAATAATTACAATCTCTTTGCTCTCACTACATATTCCTGAGAAATAACAAAAAATATACGAAAGATCCTTATCAAAGCGAATATAAAAGATTTTTGTCAAAGGGAGAGGCAAATTTCACTCGAGGAGGAAATTAAGATTCACCTTCGCTCGACGTACAAAAATAACAAGCGAGTTATCTCTTGTAGCCTAGTACTCTGTTAGTACTTACCAATTTTCCGGCCAGTTGGGAGCGTAGAGAGCTCGTGCCCCGAACTTCCACATGCGATGAACACACGATGAATCTTGCTCAACTCTCCTGAGAGTTCGTTTCGCGAGATATTCATTTTCTATGACCTGTTCCTCACGATGTTCCACCACAATAAACGCGCACGGGATTTACCGTCGACACTGCCGACGATATTTCGCGCGCGTGACTCCTTCGACGATCTGACGACTCGAATTTTGCACTTCCGAAAAATGGTGAACGCGAACTTTACGTCACTCAGCACTCCCGACGGGCCGTTTCGCGAGACATTTGCTTTCGGCGGCTTCTCAACGATGTTTTGTCACGACGGACGCGCGAGACGTTACGCTTTCAATGCTCCTGACGGTAATTCGCGCACGGGACTCCGCTTCGTCAAGTCAGGAGCGTTAAGTGCCTACGATTTGAATTCCATAACGACTACCATAACACAACGAACGCGCGACATTTCATGCGACACTCCCGACGGCCCATTCCGTGAGATGTTCACTCACGCCGGCTTTTTAACGATATCCCGTTACGACAAACGCACGAAACTCACCTTCGACACTGCCGGCGACAATTGTCCGCGCCGTCAAACTTTCCTTCTGCGAGCCGAAATGCGAGCCGAAATGACTTTTGCAGTCCGCACCACCATGTCGCGATCCGCTCGTACTGACTGAACATAGCGCTGATTGCGGTTCTCGAAATATCAATATTATCGATCATAGCGATCGCAATAGGTGTATGTAAGTTCCCTTCAGCTGCACTCTCTGTACTTTTTTACAATTTTTATCCCCCTACCTTTTTTTCTTCAGATTTCAAATTTATATCTTTTTTATTTCATTTGTTATTATTTTACTCGATCTTTTGCGTGCGAAGCATTCAATATATATATATATCTCTCTCTCATATATGTTGGTTATTATGTCCAAACCATTTGAACGATTAAAAATCAATCATATTGAAAAGGTTCCACATCGTATAACCGTAACAGCTCGCGTCGTTTGGNTATATATATATTGAAATATGATATTATTATACCGTAGATATATGTATATATACCTAATTATATACTTATAAGACATCTCTCTGATAACAAACTGTAAAATTAGCTGATCCATTGGGTTCTGAAATATAGCTAACAGGCCACTTGGCGCCACACAACGGTGTCGCTCAAAAAGATGTGTTCGAATATCGACTAGATTTCTCGTATAAGGTTTGAATCTTGGCTAAGTGATCCATTACGATTCAACCCGTTATTTTTATTAGTTCCTAAGTTTCCGCTATGAGTCGCCATCGTCTTTAAAAATTGAAGTCGTAGTGAGACTAAATGACAGAGCAGACGTAATATTTTCAAGTAGTGAGCTCGATAGTTTGCTAAATCATCTCTTTAATTTGACATAGTTCGGTCGAATGTCAGGTCAGAGTAACTTTTATTTTTAAATAATAGTACGATTTTAACTCGACAGATAAAATAAACTGATATTTTTAAGTAATAAGACCAAACGATAGATTGGGTAAACTTGTATCTCTATGCTAACCTAAAATGTAATCGTAGTTTATCGAGTTGGACGAGTTCTTATCAGAGAAACGAGAAGATAAAGTGCTATTCTTTCTTATTTTCATTTCTCAATTTTGTATCAGAATGATGCCGACAAAAGTATCTTTGACGTTCGGACATTGAAAGGAACTAAATATATATACATATAAAATTTCTAATAAATAAAGTGATTGTCAGTACACGGTGCAGACATAACCTACGACAAAATGGACAAGAAGCAATTGTGGAAAAATCTGGGAATAGAACCCAAAGAGCGATTTATATCGCTCTCGGAGCACGCCTCTTCAGTAATTGTAGATCCTCATATGCCTATCGAAAGGTGCCTAAAAGCATATACACATACATTTAATATTACAAATATATGCATAAATAAATGTATACATTATATGTGTAGAGCTTTTATATGTGTGGAAAGAGTTAAAGTTAATTTTTACATTAATTGAAAACAAGGGAATATCTCTTTTCTTAAGTCAATCTTCAAAACATTTTTCAGATATTATCGCTCTGGAGTGGAAATGGTTAGATATGCAGATATGCATATGGAAGATGAAAACTATGAGAGTGCCTATACTTTATATATGAAATTCATAACGTAGGTAATATTGATAAGCGATCAAATTTATTATATGTTTACTACATATATATATAATTTTTACAGCCAATTTTGCTTATTTTTATTGTATAACATATAGTAAAATTAATTATGCAATTTAATAATAATTTATACAATTAAATATTACTGACTATACATATATAATTTATTGCGGCAGACTTTTTGTGGATAAAATTACAAAACACCCAAAATATGAGAGTGTACCAGTCCAAATGAAGGAGACGAATAGACGTACCTTGCGAATTGCTTTTACCAAAGCAGAACAGTTGAAGAAACAGTTGCTGCATCAATATGAGGCAGATTTAGACAAATATGTTGAGGACTTAAAAGAGAAAGAAAGAATTGAGAAGGAACAATTGAGACAAGAGGAACTCCGAAGGTGCATAAAATAATAATTTATTTATATTACATAAATATATAAGAAATCATGAATGAATATATATATACACACACACACACACACACACACACACACAGCATTATATATTTGCTGTTTAATTGGTTTTTATCATAAAATTGGTTTTTACCTAGACAAAAGGAAGAGGAGGAAAGGAGAAATAAGATGGCAGCTTTAGTTGCCGTTAAGGCAGCAAAGGCTGCTTTAAGTGCAAACGTATTACCAGAAGAAACGAAGAGCAAATCATTCCCTGTTGTGCCTCCTGTCAAGCCTGTGATAAGTCCTTCGAACGATAATGATAAGATGTATAACTTCAAAGATATGTAAGTCTCTCTATTAAAAATTATACGTTATACAATATACGCTACAACATTTAAACTTTTGAAGGGAGATGACGGATTTGTGACATTGTTGCATAACACGCTTTGTTTAGGAAAACGCCGATAGTAGATCGTTCGACCAAGCCCTCTTTATTGCTGAGCGACGGTTCGTCCTTGCGCGATGTTATCCTGTCGAACAAATTAATGCGCAATTTCCTCACGCTTGCCTTCAGTAATACGATGAACAATAAGGAGACCTGCGGCATTTTAGCTGGCAAATTGGAGAGACATAAATTGCTAGTGACGCATCTGCTCATTCCGGAGCAAACCGGCACCCCGGATTCCTGCACCACGCACAACGAGGAAGATATCTTCGATTATCAGGACCAACATAATCTGATCACCCTCGGCTGGATTCACGTACGTGGATTTTTAAACTGGTGACGTAGCGCAACAATGATACACAACTCGCTTTTTTCCCGTCTCTTATGAACATTTAATATCAAATCAAATATTCAACTGTATCTTCGGTTAGAATTATGTGATAGTTTCACGATACTTCCCCTGCTAACTTATTATCCCTGGTTAAAAAATTGTGTTAAAATATAACAATTGAATTCCTCTGCAATGCTTAAGAAGCATGCCTTCTCCATTGAACAGTTAATCGCTTGACTATTGGACTAAATGTTACTATTGCAACAGACCCACCCCACGCAGACTGCGTTTCTGTCAAGCGTGGATCTGCACACGCACTGTGCTTACCAGCTGCTGATGGCCGAGGCAATAGCAATAGTCTGTGCGCCTAAATATGACGAGTACGTATAATAAATAAGAGAACGCGAAATATAAAATGAGAGGAAAAAGAAGAGAGGAATGAAAGTATATTTAATTATATCGTTAAATCCTAATTACGAACATTTAGCTTGCATGTAGGAAGCCACGAAATTCTCATTTTTCTTTAGTCAAGTCTTACAAATTAATTTATTTATTTTAGAACGGGATTCTTTGTCCTGACGCCGGATTATGGCTTGGATTTCATCGCGAATTGCAGAGAAAGTGGGTTCCATCCTCATCCTACTGAACCACCATTATATACAGTAAGTTTGACGGACATATTAATGATTCATAATATATTTTTATTCTTATTATTCCTATTCTATATTTTAGAATTACTTTTGAGTTCCTCTTGAGTTGTCATGTCGCCAATTGTATCGTCAACAAGTAGTCGTCGTGTGTTCAACATTGTTGTATGTTTTCTTAATTCTTTTAAAAATGACTGGTAGAATACTATTTTCTCATTACAGAATGCAAAGCATTGTAAGTTGGACGCAATGGCACCTATCGAGGTTGTAGACCTGCGAAGAAAATGATACATCTCTAACATGAGCTAATTATAATGCCGCCATTAGCAAGAAGTATTTTTCTAAAAACCGAATCCCGAAATTATATTGTTAAATTAATTGCTTTAAATCTCCGTAAAAATTACAAGTTATGGTAGAAATCACGGTATCATTATATCGCGCATAAAATTACAAACGAAAGCCGAGTAGTCATGTATAACATATATATATATAAATATATAAATATATATATTTATATATTTATATATATTTATATATATATTTATAATATATATATTTATATATATTTATATATATATTTATAAATATATATATTTATATATTTATATATATATAAAATTTATTAATTATAATATATATTATTAATTTTTTTAACAGAATTTATAATTTAGAAAAAGGAAGCATTTATCAAGATTTTGAATCGATGCTGGTCATTGTAAATTTATTGTTATACTATTCATATGTTACATTATATTCCTTAATGATTATATTACATTATTATTACCTCAATTCTAAAGAACGTCAATATCGATTTGAAAAGAAATTTTTAACGTCTCGGTTTCTCCGTGCCTTTTCGAAAGGAACAAAGTGTTCATAACATCGCTAATTAATTATTCTATATTTTAACAACATAAAAGATATAACAGAATTATTATATTATATATTTTATAATATCCACCATTATAAAATATGTAGTATAATTATTATAATTGTCTTTATAGTGTTCAAGCTGAAGATGATCCTCCTGTAGATGGTTTCCTAAGCTATGTATTAGAATATTTAAAAAAACGAAAAGGTTATACAAGATATATTGGATAGACAAGATAATACCCGAGATAATACAACATGTCCTGAGATTACCTTGAATGTACTCAGAACGTTCTGGGACGTTCCCTAAGCATTTTGGGTACGTTCAAAATAATTCTGGAATGTTTTGTGCTATTTTGGAGATATCGACCAGAAATATAAGAAGGTAAATGAATAAATAAATGTACCTAATGTGATTGAGCTTCTTGCCGTCCGACAAGCACTGCAACATCCAACTAAATTTCAAAATAAAAAATTTCAAAATAAAGAGATCATGAATAAAATAATATACGAGGATGAATCAAATATAAACTAGCCTTTTGCAAAAAAAAACCATATATTTTTCAAAATCAATTCTAATTTACATTTTTCTTATTTTTCTACATAGTCCCCCATCTTATCTATGTACTTCCTCCAACGGTCTGGTAATTTTTTAATCCCGGTATCATAAAAAGTTCGCGGACGTGTATCAAACCAATTGTACACGAACTGCTGCACCTCCTCGTTCGTTGTGAAGCGCTGTCCACCAAGGGCTTCCTTGAGTGACCCAAACATATGGAAGTCGCATGATGACAGGTCTGGGCTGTAGGGTGGATGTTCTAGGACAGCCCAGTGCATATCGGCCAATTTTTGTTGTGTTACTGCTGTAGTGTGGGGTCTGGCGTTGTCATGAAAAAGCAACACACTTCTGATCGGAATGCCGCGCCTTTTTTACCGATAGGCAGCTCGAACTTGGCTAAGATCACAATAATAGGCAGCATTAATGGTTCGACGTTCTTGAAGAAAATCGACCAGCAGAACGCCTTTACAGTCCCAGAATAGTGTGGCCAAGATCTTCCCTGCAGACAACCGCGTCTTCGCTTTCACCGGTGCACCCTCGCCAGTCTTCCGCCTTTGGAACCCAACGAGCCGACACTTTTCGAAGTCCCAACTCATCGCGAATGATTGATTGCACACTTCCATAGCTGATCTGAAGTTCCTGAGAGATTTCAAGAACAGTTAAGTGCCGATCACCTTCGATGAGTTCTCGAACAGCCTCGGTGTTCTGTGCTGTGATGCTGGTGCGGGGACGGCGCAGGTGGGCAATGTTTTCAACACGCTCCCGTCCTTTCTTAAATTCGTTACACCACTGCTTCACTCGAGCCCATGAAAGGGTTTTTTCCCCGAACTGTAGGAGTAAACGGCGCCGAATTTCAGCAGCATTTATATTTTCGTTGACGAGAAACTTAATAATAACACGTTGTGCAACTGCGGGGTGTACCTCTTTCTCGCTCATCTTGATTGCTGCTGAGAGTAAGAATTATGTGGCGCACCAACGTTATTACTGCCTTCCACATGACCCCCCTCCACTGTCCAAAACGTTGTAGACCCCTCACGCCGCCGACGGGCGCGCAATTTTAAAAGATTCGTTTATATTTGATCCACCCTCGTATGTAATCTCTAACAATCCTCTATTTTAATATCGTATAAACGTAAATGGATAGATAACTTATATAATTAGAAATAGAAAATTATTTAGCTTGGAAAATGTTGCTGCATCATTAATACCGTTGGTAATAAAAACATAAATTATTTAGGCTCTACACAAGTGAAGATTAGATGAAGAATTTCCAGAAACCTGAGAACTTTTTCCAGGAATGCTAGAAATTCTCTATCCAATAGCCAATCGGCACATTTAACAAGATTATCATACACAAATAAAATGACTCCTTTTCGAAAAAAATGCACAGAATGGTTAGCTTTAAATGTTTCTTTATAACAACTGAAAACAATTGTATTGATATAAGATAATGTGTAGTTATAGGACGCTCTATGTACATGAGTTTCATTGAAGAATAATTTATACACTGGATATCTAGTATCTCTGATATTTGAAATAGAACTGTTTATTGATACATTCAACTGAACCTTAAAAGGTAAACATTTTCAGGTAAAATATTAAATATCAAGTAAGATCACCAAGTATAGAATAAATTTATTTAAAAACTTCTTCGTAACCACAGCTTAAAAAATAAAAAGACGAGATATATCTACAACGTACAGTGTGACAAATGAATAATCTGAAGGGTAATAATTCTTATTTTGTTATATAAACTTTTAACGCTTTTAACACTTGAAAGTGAATAATTATAATATTTATAATTTTCACGTGTATTTATATTGTCTTCGTAGGTGCCGTCTTCTTTGAAGAATCAATATTATATAGGAACTTGCATTTATACAGGGTGAGTACATACAACCTTTTGTATCGAACGTGTTAATTAATATGATTTTTCGTTAAAATATTTTAAATCAAAATATATATGATAATGTAATAAAAGCGATCGAATCTTCATCGAATTACAACTGCCATCTACCTATAATTGAAAAATATATATTTTCAAAACTAATGTTGTCGCTTCTGAAAATATAAGCTAATATATAGCTTTGTGCTAAATATAAACTAAAATATAAGAATAAATATCAAGTGCTAATTAACAGTTGCAAAATACAAAATTAATATAATGTAAAATTGAATTATTCCCTACAAATTGATTCGTTTTCATACTGTACAATAGAGTAAAAATGTCTCCTGCATTTTTTGTTTATTTGTTTATCTTTATCTCAGCGCACAAGTAGCTATCTTACAGCGATCGTAGCAAACGATCAATATCAGCTGGCTTTCTTATTAATCTCCTGCGTTGTCTGTGATGACGAGCGGGCCTACATTATCGTTGTGCTCCTTATTGTGACGTCCGTGGCTACCGTCACAGTATGGAAACTACACAGAAAAAATTATGAACATAGTAAAAAATTAAGAGTTATATATACTTACAGCAAACTCTGTATATGTGAGATATTATATATATATATATGTATATATATATATATATATAATTATATAAAATATGTTATTATAAATATTATATTAAAATTATATTAAATTTATATATATGTTAACAGTACATATCCTAAAAATTAGTAACATGCAAGATAATGAAAAGTTATGCATATTTTTAAAGTATCAATAAGAAAATAATACTTCTAATGAGAAATGAATATAAAAACATGAAAATAAAAAGTAAAAAAATTATTTACACGTAAATATATACAAGGAATTTAGTAAAAGAAATACACATACAATGACTAAATTTTGAGAAATCTCACTGCTTCAAGAATGCGCGTCACTTTGAATCTGAGTGCTATTATTATACGGCGTGCATTTTGCAATCATATTCTTGGAATCTGGCTAAGGTCGAAAACACAACGGAACTCCGGGATTATACATTATTTTTTACAGTTCTAATAGAGGGAATTTACGTTTTCAGATCTCCAACAGCGGCAGAATACGGCCTTCTCAGAGATGTCCTCGATGTCGATTGTATCCACTACTTTAGCCACATCTTTCTTCAGTTTCAGGTTCACCAATCCACATGGCTGTGAAAAATACAATAAATTAATAATTGCATGCATATCTATTACTTATATCGCTTATATAAGCGCTTATACACATTATTGTAAGAATGGACGACCAGAAGATTTAGCGGCACGATCAAAAGTTTTAATATACATCGAAATTGTTACACTAAGAAAAAAATTGCTAATTATATCGACCAGAAATAAACAACAGCAATAATAACTCATTATGAGTTCAATTTTTTAATAAAATTTCAGGTAGATCCCATCAGAACTGTAACGCAGCATACCGCTTGACCATTTGTATTGAGCGCCACAGAACGAGAGACGGCGATAAATCGATTCTCTCATTCTCTGCTGCTGTCTCTCGGTTTGCATTGGCTGTTTTCAGCGAAACAAAGCGATCAGTGAGCGGTCAGTGATTATTGGATTTTACTGTTAGATCCTTGAATTTAGACCAATTACGATGACAAATTACTCAATCCTTGTAGAACCGTTGTGTTTTCTGAATACAGACACTCATTAGCGCGAAAGACCGAATGATGTGTTGTGTTATCACGCTTTATCCGAACTCCAATTGCAATATTATGTTCATATTTTATATATATAGTGTATATTTAAATTAATTTGTTATTTATGTTGTGTGTATATGAATAGTACTGTACAGTTATATACTTCTAGAAGTATATAACGGAAGTGTATTGAAGGAACATAACCTACAAAAGCGGTTGGAGCTGGAGACTAATTGGCTCCAGGGTCATCCTAGACGTGTAACGAGAATACACCGATATGTCTTTTTGATTCCAAGTTTAAATTTTCTTATGTGTGAGCACGCAAGTACGATTCTATTTCCTTTGCTGCACACCACCGGTGTTGTACTTTCGGCACTCGAAGGAGATCAAAGATCAATTATGGTTGCTCTCCAGCGAAAGACGCGAGTTGATACGCCAATCTAGTTATGTCATTCATTATCTTTTGTTTACCAAATACGAAATAAGAATAAATGATGATGTAACCAGACTTGTGTCTCTTGTTGAAAAGCATCAAATTGCTAACAATGACACAGTAATATTTGAAAAAAAATACTGAACCATAAAGACGAGAAATATTTAAAGTACTAAACCGCATCGAGAAATCATTCAGAAGCTTCGTTCAGTTGTGATTTTTACACTTCGTTACGTTCCGTACGCGCACTTTCGAATTGCATGTACATTCATCCCCCCCTGAAAATGCAGAAGCGCAGCTGAAGCGAACGGATTTGCTTGAGATGAAAACGAAGAAACTAGAAAAACGAAAGGAAGCGCGGAAATTCGACTCAACCTGGCGACTCGAGTCCGATGCTTCGCGACAATAAATCGATCGCAAACGTGATCTCCCGACAGAATCTTCTGGAAGTTACATAATCGTATCGCACTCGTGGACAAAGATTAGTGACTTGGTCGCTTGCTGTAATGGGTGATTCTCTGCGTGTGTGTGTGTGTGTGTGTATGTGTGTGTGTGTACTCACCGCAGGCCTAGCATGCGGACAAAATGCTCGATAGGACATGTATCCGAGTCCGGCAAGGGCGGCGGTGGGCGGCACCAGAGCGAGCCAGTCCTTTACTGGCGTGAGGAGAAAATTAAAAGGGCATGTTAATTGAGATGACCGAAAGTTCGAAGGCCAAAAGGAAAAAAAATCGGCAGGTTAAGTCGAAGACGAGCGGAAAGAGACGAGAACGCGACAGTGGACTGCGAGAAGGGCGGGTGGTGCTTTTACCTCCCAAACGAAACCAGCCGCCTATCGATTCGGGGATCGGTAGGCCAGCAAGGTAGTTCGGAACAGACACTTTCACGAGGTGTGCGATCGGCTCCATGTTCACTCTGCTTACTGACGGTGGTAACTGCGTTCGCTAGCGGGCGCGAACAGTGCTGGATCGAGAGAGAAAGTGGAATACATATTCGACCTTCCGTTCGATTATTTTCCCGCCGAACTTGAAACAGAGAGGTCCGGGATTGGGGAAATTGTATTTGAGGGATTGAAATTTGTGTGTTTCATCTTTCGAGGAGAATTTTCAGGGACGTCGAAATACGAGGGAGAATCGCGTTCCGTTCTGCGTCTTGAACTATGCACTTCACTGAGACCACGTCTGTGTGACGTGCGCAAGTGCAGTAAACCCGGGTCGCCTGGGAATCTGGCGGAGGCGAACGACCCGGCACGTGCCGTAAATATACTCGCATAGCCGCTTCGTGCTTACTTGCTTGTGTATCTTACCTGCCGACGTATCGAGATTTATTTCTTCGAAAACCAAGCAGTAAGACGCCGTTTTTCACGAAGTCCCATAGTTTATTTCGCCCACCGTTACGTTCGAAACGTGGCATAAATCGTAGTACCTATCGGGTCGCTGAATATACATAACTAAAAATCTAGTTAATTTTTAAACAGTGCGCGCGCGCCACCTTGTGTCACCTGGCGATTAGTCCATTTTTGTTCTTCGGAGGTTTGAGGGTTGGTGCTATTAGAGGTACACGGAGGTTGTATCACGCTCACACGTAACTTAGTATTTTTGTATCGCAAAGTGAGAATAAAATATACAGGATTAACTTTAATCGTAAATAAATTTTCCACAAGGTATATTGTAATCAGGCGATAACATAAATCAGTAGAACGGAAAGAAATCTTGTTGCTTGAAGAAAAATGCCGCCGAAATCTGCTAAGGTGAAAGAAAGCTTTTTATTTCGCTATTTCAAACACATTAATGACGTTACTTATCGTAGAGATAATTTTATGAGGGACAAATTCTAAGCTAATATTAATTTCAGAATTCCAAACGAAGCGGTAAAAGTAATAAATGTACATCAGAACCATGTGTCCCTTCCAAGACGACTACAGATGCAAACAGCACGAGTGGTTTAAATCCAGAAGTGGAGGATCAATTTGAACTGGAATTATGTTGGTGCATACAACAGCTAGAAACAAGTTTAGCCAATGGCAAGTTGCAAGAGAAACAGATGCAAGATCTCAACAAACATGTACGTTCGTTAAAGAGCAATACCGCACCATTGATAAAAAAAAGACAGATAATGAGAAACATGTTGGGAGACTATAAAGATAAAATGGCTAAGGACGAAATGAAACTCAGTAAAACTGTATCAAGTGTCAAGTTCACAAATCCTGCTGCTGTGAATAAGAAATCAGTGTTTATTAAGAAAGCTACTAGATACAATGAACAGGAACATCAAGAACAAACAGATGATCTGAGAACACAAGAAACATTAGTTAGTGCGAAACGAATTATTAATATTGATAGGACTCAAACTCCATTCCGATTTAATTTTCAGACATGTCAATAAAATTGTGTTTCTATTTATATAATTACTGAATTTTATAACACATTAGAAGGTAAACTTATCTACAATTAGCAAATCTATGAATTTTTTTTCTCCGTCTTCCTAATATAATTTTCTATCTTCTCTTAATTTTCTATAGATTATTAATCTAATATGTTTAAAGCATATTATAATTAATAAGAATTCCTATATAGCATTTTAAATCATATCTTCTTCAATACATAGATTTGTATTAACACTTTACCGACCGGTAGCGGTTCGAACATCCTATGCCCTTTTCACCGGCCACTCAGCCGCAGATCATCCGAGACACCGGCTTGCTGCTTGCTACTTGTCAGTCTAACTTAACCAAATCTAACGGAAAAAACAAAAGTCGATTAATCGACGACCGGTCGTTAAGCGCTGTGGAATAATCGACGGCCTGTCGATAAGCGCTGAGAACAAAACGTCGATTAATCGACGGCCGATCGGTAAAGTGTTAATATGAAGATTTGTATTAGTAAGATAATATTCTCAATCCAGAGAATACATGCAAAATAGAGACAACAATCTCCCTAGCAATTAATTTCCTAGACTTAAAGATATTCAACGGAATCTACATGTTTTTACGTTCCAATGTGTTACAAAATTCATTTTGTAAGTTTCTCTGTATAATGCTATCCTAATCCAAGTGTTATATGTATAAGACTTTCTTCTGTTACTACTGTTTTCTTAAGTGAAAAAATAATATAAAATAGAATAATGTATTAAAGCAAAACTTTGTTTGTATTTTCATGCATACAGACATGGAAGTGACTCACTTTCCTCATTTTAAAACATCTTACTATTTAAGAAAAAAATTTTCCCACTTTTTGCTATTATTTTTATTTTATTTTATTAAATATGTTTGAGAAACATAGAATTTAATTTTTGGAAGAGCTTTATTGTACCTGAATATGCGCCTAAGACTGAATTTAAAATAAATTTTCTATGTATCATGCAACTTTTTTGTTCCTCAAAATTTCAAAATTGAAATTTTGCTCTTCATTGTCTTTGTAATTTAAAATATAAAGGAGAAGAGTAAAAAAACGTAAAAACACTCAAGTAAAGCATTTAAAGAGTGATTTTTATTAATGTCGCTGTAATGTTATGAGATTTTTAATAAATATAATGTGATTTTGTTCCATGAAACTTTGTTATTAAACCAGCGAAAAGAAGATGGTCCTGTGGCGCAACGGATAACGCGTCTGACTACGGATCAGAAGATTCCAGGTTCGAATCCTGGCAGGATCGTGTATGTTTTTGCTTTCATATTCAAAACACACATTTTTTATCCTTGTGTTAAAAACTTATTCTGCATAAATTATATATTATTCTTTTATAAAATATACATTTTATCTAAATGTGTAGGACGGTAAAGACTAAAGTTGAGCGAGAACGATCAAATCTAACGGCTATGCTGAACCAACCAAATGTTGAGATAAATGATATTTATTTACACACAATATGAAAGAATAAATAAATGTATTTTTCATCATTCATCGACTTCATTTTTTAAAAATACATTATTTTCCATTTTCATGTTTTCACTTGAGATCTGTCCAGTTTAATTACACTCTCTACACTTTATTGCGATATGCCTTTATTCTCTCTTTCTTTCACTTTCAAAATTTAATTTTATTATTTAAAGTACAATAAATGTAAGCAAACCGAAAGTAATATTTATTACATCATATTACACGTTATATCAAATTTGTTGTTATCTCAAATAAAATTCGATCGCTCCTTACGAGTATAGTAGAAAATACTGATAGAATACGGTGAGTCTGACGTGGTGGCTCGTTCGTGTGGTTTCATGTGATTGGTGTCACCATTCAACATGAGCGACAACGTGGTATCCGAAGTGCAAAATCTGATTTTAACTGACGAAAAGGCACGAATTTCCTAACTTTACGTATGATTCGGGTTTTATCGCTCTTTTGATCCTTTAGTATTGTTAAACCATGTTGACGAGTTTACGTTCTCGCATTTGTAGGGCTGCTTACAGCGTTTCTAAGTGGACACATGCCCGGGTTGGTTAAGACGTATTTTCTCCCTACCGTTTCCTCAGAATTTTTGCTTTCTAGTCCTGAATTCAATCGCCTCATTGTCTAATTGTAAAATCGGACTGCCATATGTCTTTTGTTCCTAACTCAGCGAATCGTTAACAATGGCAGAATCAATAATCTGATGCAATCCGCGAGTACCGTTTCTCACCGAGGTCACCTAACATTCGATTGTGACGTGTGTCACTTTGTCGCGTTACCTGTTTCAATCAGTCCATTTCACCTGGGATTCTCTGTTTCCAGACGAAAATGAAAGCGGCGCAAAAGAAAAAAACCGCCGAGCTAGAAAAATCTGTATCTGAACTTAATCCTTGGCCTGCATACATTCAGGTAAATTTACACCATAGAAAATGCCGTGGTAGAAAATATCAAACAGATTTATGACAGTTTCCTGCGTGTACAGAATGTCAGATGATTATACAGGAGGCATTTGTAACATAACGGTGTAATCAGAAATCAATAATAATTCTTGGTGAACTTTTCAGGACCGTCTTGTGTTATGGGACAAGCTGAAAAAGGAATACGAGGATACGTTAGCTGCAAAGACTCCGACTGACATAACTGTGACTCTTCCAAATGGCAAGGAAGTCAATGCTCAGTGTTGGCGCACTACTCCTTATGATGTCGCGAGAGGTATCAGCCAAGGATTGGCGGACAGTATTGTGATTGCAAAGGTCAACAATGAATTGTGGGATCTGGACAGGCCTCTGGAGCATGATTGCAAGCTGCAATTGTTGAAGTTCGATGACCCAGAAGGTCAGCAGGTGTTTTGGCACTCCAGCGCTCACATTCTTGGAGAAGCGATGGAGAGAGTTTACGGCGGTTGTCTGTGTTACGGTCCCCCTATCGAGAACGGTTTTTACTATGACATGTTTTTGGATGACCGGGGCATCTCCTACACCGACTTTCCGTATTTGGAGGGTCTGTACAAAAATATAGTCAGGGAGAAGCAGCCGTTCGAGCGGCTGGAAATGACGAAGGAAGATCTCATGGAGATGTTCAAGTACAATGAGTTCAAATTACGGATTATAAACGAGAAGATACACACGTCCACCACCACCGTTTACAGATGCGGCCCGCTGATCGATTTGTGCAGAGGACCGCATGTCAGGCATACCGGGAAGATCAAGGCCGTCAAGATCACGAAGAACTCCTCCGCGTACTGGGAGGGTAACGTGAACGCGGAATCGCTGCAGAGACTGTACGGGATAAGTTTCCCGGATAACAAGCAGTTGAAAGAGTACGAGAGGTTCCAGGAGGAAGCGGCCAAGCGAGACCACAGGAAGATCGGCAGGGAGCAGGAACTCTTCTTCTTCCACGAGCTGTCACCGGGCTCCTGCTTCTTCCAACCTCGCGGTGCATACATATACAACACTTTGATCGAATTCATTCGTTCCGAGTACCGCAAGAGAGGCTTCCAAGAAGTGGTCTCTCCGAACATCTACAACAGCAAGCTGTGGCAGGTCTCGGGACACTGGCAGCATTACGCCGATAACATGTTCTCCTTCGACGTGGAGAAGGAGACCTACGCGCTCAAACCCATGAATTGTCCGGGTCACTGTATGATATTCGACGTTCGAAACAGATCGTGGCGCGAGCTGCCGCTCAGACTGGCGGACTTCGGTGTTCTGCATCGCAACGAACTGTCGGGCGCGCTGACCGGCCTCACCAGGGTGAGACGATTCCAGCAAGACGACGCGCACATCTTCTGCTCCGTCGAGCAGATCAAGGAGGAGGTGTCGGGCGCCCTCGACTTCCTGCGGCATGTCTACTCCGTCTTCGGGTTCACGTTCAATTTATGCCTCTCCACCCGGCCCGAAAAGTTCCTGGGCGATATAGCCGTCTGGGACCAGGCCGAGAAAGCGTTGGAGGACAGTCTGAACACGTTCGGCGAGTCATGGTCCTTGAATCCTGAAGACGGTGCGTTCTACGGGCCTAAGATCGACATCACCATTCGGGACGCGCTCAAAAGAGCTCATCAGAGCGCTACGATACAACTGGATTTCCAGTTGCCGATTAGGTTCAACCTGTCTTACATCAAGTAAGTGTTCGCTGACAGCGCTGAGGCGCTTTTCGATCTAAAGTTTCACCATGCGATTCATCGTGTTGTGCGTTTCAGCGAAGCAGGAGAGAAGGTGAGACCGGTGATCATACACCGAGCTATCCTGGGATCAGTGGAACGCATGATTGCCATATTGACTGAATCGTACGCGGGAAAATGGCCGTACTGGCTCTCACCCCGACAAGCGATGGTCGTGCCGGTAGCGTCTCAGCTTGACGAGTATGCTTACGAGGTGAAGCAGAAACTCTGGGACGCCGGCGTCATGGTCGAAGTCGATGTCGACCCAAACGACAGTTTCAACAAGAAGATTCGCAATGCTCAGCTCGCGCAATTTAACTTTATTCTTGGTACGTGGTGCCGGCTCGATAAAATTTCTACTGCTTTCTGTGCGATGAAAGTAATTAAGTAATTGACTTCTCTTACAATGTGTCTTTGTGTTAATATGAAATTGTTTACAGTTGTGGGGGAAAAAGAACGTAATGCCGGTACAGTGAACATTAGAACGAGAGACAACGTGGTACACGGCGAGATGGGTGTGGAGGATCTCATCGAAAAATTGAAAATCCTGAAGGAAACGAGAGATCGAAGAGGGGATCTTAAATTTTAATCCAAAGAAATCCACTATAAAGTGTGATTTATTTATTTCTAGATCAAGCACTCAACGTCCTTACCTGACACCACCATCTAATAAACTTCGATAGTAATCAGGACTTATTTTGTTTTACAGCGTCTTTTTTTTTTGTATTCAGTAAAAGGTAGCTTATGATTTTTCGTACGTATATGTATGTATTTTGTACATTAATATATATATATACATGGCGTAGTTACTGCAGATGCAAGAACAATAATGACGGGCATCGTGAAATAAATTAAACTTTGATAAAATTTCCAGTTTTGCATTTAAAATTTCTTGAGGAATATGAACTCGTTTTTCATTAATCTGAGAATATTATATTAAAAATATCGTGTCTTATGTGTTTTACGCTAATCAGCATTTATTGTAAGTTACAATAAAAAAAAAACATGTAATATATACACATATTTTAATGTAAGCACCAGCTCTCAACGTTGAAAAAATCCTCTATTAATAGAAGATACGATTTAAAAAAAAAATTTACAATGGCTGTACTTTGATTTATAGTAATTAATATTTTTTTTCAAGTGTAAATATATGTCAATGTATTTTCCCGTTATCTCCCCAATTTTAAGAAAACAAAAACCTTGATTCAAATATAATTTTCATAAATACAAATTTATCGATAATTTATACGTCTGTGTACAAGAAGATACATTTAAAATTCCTTGTCAAACATTATATTGACCCTGTTGAAAATTTTCAAGATTCCCATGGAAATCCATAGTAACTCGTGTGAATCCATGAAGGATAATAAAAATCCACGTATGTAGAAATCCATACAGGAATTCACATGATGTGTGAAAATTCATATAGGAATCCACACGAATCAAGATTTTTTATGCAATCTCCAAAAGCTATATACGACGCTCCGAAGCGTTTGCAACGTCAAGCGGACCCTAACTTCGCACGCGAAACCAGTCGCACGAAGTTCGAGAATTGGGCTCTAAGTTGTTCATATATTCTATACCCGCCTCAGGCTGTCTATCGACAGGCTGTAAACCGAGAGAATTGAGAACTGATCACCGTGGCAGTTGACTAATCAGAAGAGAGCGAGCCAGATGCCAGACCGCCTGATTGGTCGAATTGTAACCAGCGATCTGCGATTTTCGTTCTTCGATGTGTAACTGACTTTAGGTGAGACGAACGTCCCGGTTAGTTCGTTCGGTTAGTTACGGATGGGCGAATGGCTGGCGGTACGTTCCCTGCGGTTTTCCTTTTCACTCTGAGTAAGAGAGCGGGCGTGCGTCCGGCATGACGCGTCGAAGGTTTCCGTAGGCGATAACCGAGCTATAAATATCGGAATAATAAAACCTACCGCAGCATTTAAATTCGGATTCGCATCAAGCAGCAGCGGCGGCAGCAGCAGCAGCGACAACGACCAAGAAGCAACCGCCGGCTCGTGGGACAGAGACGAGAGCTATTTTGAAACGGTCGGAGCGATCTTTTATGTCGGATTCGGCGCGAATCCGACGCGTCTGTGATCGACGAGAATCTCATCGCGTGAGCCGCCTTTGCCGGTGAACTGATCGATAATGGGGATAATACTGTCCAGATTTCGGGTGAGTAAACCGAGCAAATGTCGCGTTCGTGTGTCCACCTGTCTGACGTATCGTCTGCCGTATGTAAGCGAGAGGTTAACGTCACGTCACGCTAAATGCATATACGGTGCGGTACCTCTTCGGGGGAACGTCTGTCTCTTCGAGCGTAACGTGTTCTGCGAACGATCGCTCGGCAGTATTTTTAAATGTCATTCACCGCTATTTATAGCGGTCCGAGACTGTCCGTTACCGAACGAACTTGGCGGATTTGACAGTTGAAAATTGCACGAGGCTCGGCGCGCGAAAGCGGACTTTTTCGAACGCGCATATACGAGGCGAAGACGCAGAAGCACGAGCGTGTAATCGCATGCGTTTTACATACGTGTCCCCGTTTTTTTCTTGCCGCTGCCATAAAAGCGCCGGGAATTTTTAGATATTAGCGTTTCATCGCGTGATGCAATTCTTCGGCTGCCACCATTTCATGAGTAAACAAAATTGACTGATAATTTTATTCCGTGCGGTTAATGCGAGTGCTAAGCATTAGCATTCAATGACGAGAACTTCGTTCTAAATCAGACATGTCACGACAGAGACAATGCATGTATAATAATATTCCATAAATTAGACTTGAATTGTTATTTCTGACCACTGCTACTTTGCTAATGTTTTGGATTAAGTTGATATTGTTTGTCGCGGACTAAGATATTTTTTCATAGAAGAAAACACTGCGTGAAACTTTCAGTGGAAACAATGTTGTAGCGTTATTATATATATATGCTAAGATTTTAGCCATTGGTTGTGTTTACTGTAAATTATAGAAGGCATCATTTTTGAGTGATCATTTTATATTCTGATCCATGATTATTGTTGTCATCTCACAAGGTCAATATCTTTATATGGATTCACTGCGATATGTTTATATATTAAATTAGTTTTCATCATTTTTATATTTTTGATCCAATATGAACTTGTGACTCTTTGTGTGCTAATAATAATTGTGTAAATGTAAAATTTGAGATTGACTTTATGACCAATATTCATAGTCAGATTTTATATTTAAGGTCTTAAATTCATCTTCGGATTTGTAACTAATGAAATAAGCCATACAGCATCTGAAGATGAACTTAAAACGATCTTAAATATAAGATCCGACCATGAATATCAGTCTGTCATTTCATAGATTATTCATTTTTCTGATTTGATCCATGGCTGTTTTATCAGTTTTTTGAAGCTGATATTTGAAGAAGGAGGGAAAGAGATAGAGAGAAAGAATATATAAAAATATCTTCTTGCATGATATTGTAAAGAACATACATAAATACAAAATTTATGGTTTTTTAGAAAAAGAAGACTACTATTGAAATTTTAGAAGATCTTGATGCAGTAAGTATTGCTATATATGTCATTACTGTACATACATAATATTATAATACAATAACATATGAGTTTCTTTTTTAACAGCAAATAAAAGAGATCCAGCAATATGGACAAACTACAGAACAGAGACATAAGAAGATAGTGGGAACTATCATCATTTATGGAGTTGTTCTTTATGTTATGATAGCATTTATCTTTTACTTCTGCTTCTTTCCAGCTTCACTGTATGATCAACTCTTCTACATAACACCATTATTATTTTTCCCAATTTTGTAAGTCTATAATTACGAAAGTTGTGCAATATAAAAGTATCTCTATAAGAAATATGATGATATTGAATACTTCTTTTTTAGGATACTGTTAACGAAAAAAATGGTTTCATGGTATTATAATCGTAAAATTACTCACAATCGAGAAAAATTGTCTACAATTGTAGGGGAGAAAAAGAAAATATTGAATGAAGTTACTGAAACAGAAACGTATAAGAAAGCTAAAGAGATATTATTAAAATTTGCACCCGATGAATTAAACATGTCACCTGTAAGTGCACACATATATTTCTACGGTCATTTTTAAATATATTTACGTGCCAGGAACTTTTTACATTTAAATACTTGTAAATATAATTTTCTACTCACATTATACTTTTTATTTTTTTACAGTTATCTCCAAAGGTTTGTATTTCAAAGTTTGTGAGCGTGTGTCAAAATAAAATACAAATGAAGGACGAATATTGCAAGACATAATTGTGAAAACAATGCATATTGAGCACATAATTACTTTCAAATACATGCATATTATATTGCCGAACATAAAAATTGCAAAAATTAATGGTTTCATTTCCAGCTCGCTCCAAAGTTGTCTGTACCATCTGACACACCTCGGCATCCTGTCCCACAAATTGCAGTTACTCCTTTACCAGTTTCTGCTGATCTAAGAAGAAGAATTTTATCCACGCAAAATCAACCGCAAAATCAACTGCAAAGTGCACAGATCGGTGCGCCTGGTATTGCATCACCAAGCGGTGGGCTATCTAAACAACCTTCAAATACTCCTTACCAGATTAATGCTAGAATAAGTCCTGTTACACCTATAGGCTATCGTAAGTAGATATGAGATTTATATTAATTCTCTGAAATATTGCCATTTTATATTCTAAAATATGTTTCGGTAACTTCATATTTTAGTATAAATTCATATATATATTGTATGTAATTAGAGATCGTACATATGATTTTAGGATCACCTTTACCACGACCTGTGTTGCCACAACAGAGAACTATGATTGATCGGTTGGTCGATTACTTGGTAGGTGATGGCCCTGCAAATCGCTATGCACTGGTATGCCGACAATGCGATTCACACAACGGAATGGCTCTAAAAGAAGAATTTGAATATTTTGGTGAGTAAAATCCTTCTCTTTAGGAGAGAGAACTCCTCTCGGAGATTTATTTCAATAAAATCTTATCTACAGGATACCGATGTTGTTATTGTGGTTTTTTGAATCCTGCAAGGAAACAGAAACCATCTGCCCCGAAATTGGATACCGATAATAGTAGCTTTATTACAACTCCGAACACGCCTGAACTACCCTGCAACACAGAAGAAGAACCAGTAAAAAATAATGAATCGGAAGCATGCACACAATCGGATACAGGTATATATCTCTCTCTTTGTCTGCACATAGGAATATATTTCATTTGTTTTATATTATTATATTTATTCTCAAAAGAATTTCACCTTGGCGTTTACAAAAAAGACATAAATAAAGGTATTTTTGTACTTCTTTGTTTTCCTTCAGATTCAGATATAGAAGTAGTCGAAAGGCCAGGCGAAACACCTGAAGTCGCAGAATCAGAATTTAAACAATTATTAGATGAAAATGAATCGGAGAAGACAGAAACGTGACGTACCACACTCACATAAATTGTATATTTGAATAAATAACCTGAAAATGAAGAGGATGTTTATAAATCAGAATTGCAAATAAGCTGAAAATCAATTAAAGAAAAGCAATTTGAGGAAGTGATAAAAAGAAAATAAACAAAAATGAAGATGAAAATAGAAGAAAATATAAAAGCAAATTTATTAAATTTTCTCTACACAAGGCGGGAAGAGACTTAGAGAAAAAATTAAAATACAGGATATCTTCTGTTAAGGATATAATCATTTAAGATGTTACATTGGAAATTGTTGCTATACATACAAATAGCACAAATATATGATTGTTAGTGATTATATAGTATATATGTAACAAAATACGTACAACTTCTGATTATCTAATTTTCGAAATTATATAATATTTGCAAAAGAATATCAAAAAGCATGAAAATTCGGTCTTTATAATCATGAATTATGAATGGAATCATTCCAAATTTTTATTTGATTTTAGCATTGTAGTTGCTGAAAAAAGACGAAATAAGGTTAAGAAATTTCATTTAAGAAATTATTGCTAATCTATTAACGTGATATTTATATATTATTGTTTCATTCTTTTAACATTCTTAAGACACAATTCAATCTCTCTAATACATTGAAATATTTAATTATTATAAATTCAACAATAATTCATGTTGCAATTAACAATGTATTTTTTATAAGACTGTCTACATTATATCTGCAATGGCAGTTTATTATTTATATTAGAATAAATTTCTCAATGCGATATGTTAATCTTTTCAATATATTATATTTAAGAAGATAATACTATTTATCTAGATGTTATAATATACATTTTATTTTTCAAAAAGGAAACAAGTATTTCAACACGATTACTCAATTAGTAGTTTAAATACAAAACTATTACAAAACATGATTACATAATTTGTAATATTTCGTATGAATTCATTTCCTTTAAAAAAAAAAAAGAGTGGAAAAATGTATTTTATAACATCACTTTCTGCATGGAAAATTATTTAGTATCGATGATTTATATATTACGTAATATGGTGATAATAAATTATCTCTCAATGTGCGGCATATTTTATTATTTATCATTACAATCTAGTGTAATATTTTCAAATTTGATTAATCTCTGTGTATGATAACCTTTTGTTTATTTTTAGAAAATATAGAAATCAAAACAATAAATAAGTTTATTAATTAAAAATAAAATTACAATTTATAAAAGATCATTTGTCTGAATCGTAACAGATAGGCTGAATTCAATGGACTATAATTTCAGCAAAAATAATCACAAGGTGAGATGATCTTAGAAGCATTTTACAGCTCGAAGCTTTTGGTTTTGAAATATATTGTCAAATATACAGTTGACTTATTTCTTCGATATTACATAAATATGAATCAAGATCCGTCAAATGTCGGCATTTTTCACCAAATTTATCGAGCTACACTATGTAAGCAAAAAACCTCATAAATCGTTTGTACTGTTTGAAAGCGCGGAACTTCTTTAATTTGCATAAAATAGGTATTTTAAGCCTTAAGAAATTGACCAATCACAGTCAAATATGAAGAGAATAATTAACTGTGATTAGTCAAATTCTTAAGGCTTAAAATACCTATTATGAACCGATACTTACAGCAATCCATGTGTGAAAGCCTCAAGATCTCAATTCTCCGTTGAGGAAAGTGGCGCCTCATAGTGAAGACTTGGGAATCAAGCCAACATAACGGGTCTAACGATCTATATACCCGTTACCTCCTGTATAATCCATACGTTCGTATCTCCCGTATAGTGTGCGATTTGCTTGTTTTACACATAGTTTCGTCTTTTTAAATGCTTTTCTTACTCTAAGCAAATGAAAAACAATACCTTCATGCAATAAGAGAGAATTATGAGATGATAAAATGGAACCGCATCTGTATTGTCAGTGTTCAACTTAATGAGGAAAACATAACCTCTGACTCGTGAAATCCGCAAAGCATCTCTTCGAAGCAATCTCACGAAAGATCTGTAAAAAATGGCAGATGTACGTGATATCCTGGATATCGAAGTCCCAACGACTACGGAACTTACGAAAGAGTCGATATTGGGTAGTGACAAGAAAAATCGCAAGAAGTATGACTACAACAAAGTGCCGAAACGTCCGGAGGGTATGCACCGCGAGGTTTTCGCGTTGCTCTGCAAGGACAATAACGATGTCCCGCCGATGTTTCCGACGGACACCGGGAAAGGGTACAAGCAGGCCCGCGCCAAACTCGGTATGAAGAAAGTACGACCGTGGAAGTGGACACCGTTTACTAATCCTGCACGCACGGACGGTGCTATCTTTCACCATTGGCGACGTGTTGCCGATGCTGGCAAGGAATATCCTTTCGCAAAGTTCAATAAGAAAGTACCTATTCCAACGTATACGAATGCGGAGTATGTACAACATTTAGTGACCAATGGTTGGACACGAGCAGAAACGGACCATTTGTTTGACTTGTGCAGAAGGTTCGACCTCAGGTTCATTATCATCAAAGACAGGTGGGATCGCGCCAAGTATTCTGCGAGATCTGTAGAAGAGTTAAAAGAGAGGCAAGTATTTTATTTGTATATTTATATTTCATTAATGTATGTACCATACAGCTTTTCTGAATATGTCTACATATTGTCATTGTGAATAAATTATACAGGTACTACCAGGTGTGTGCTGCATTAACAAAGGCAAAATCTCACTCTGACAAGGTGTATGTCTTTGATGCGGAACACGAGAAGCGCAGGAAGGAACAACTCAAGAAGTTATTTGAACGCACTCCTGAGCAAGTGGAAGAGGAGCAGACGCTACTGGCCGAACTGCGTAAGATCGAGCAGAGGAAAAAAGAAAGGGACAGAAAGACGCAAGACTTGCAGAAATTGATCACAGCTGCTGATCACCAGGCAGATCCCAGGAAGAGTGAGAGGAAGTCTTCCAAGAAGAGCAGCAGTTCTAGGAACAGACCGAATAAAACCGATACTTCTCACGTATGTCCTTCAGGATGACCCAAGAGATCTCAATAATTTTTATTTGACAACATCGTTCTGACATTGCTTGAAGTCAATACGTGTATCTCGTGAAATTTACAGGCAGTGGAATCAGCTGGGATTAAATTCCCTGACTTCAAAAACAGCGGCGTCAGTCTTCGTTCTCAGAGAATTAAATTGCCGAGTAGTCTTGGCCAAAAAAAAATGAAAGGCATCGAGCAAATGCTGAATGAATTGCAATTAGGTAGACTTTACAGCCTAAGCTTCATATATTTTACCGATTCCGAAATTTTCCAGACAGAAAATTTAAAACTATCGCGCTGCTTGTATTGCAGAGTTAAATCCACCACCAACGGAACAGATATGTCAGCAGTTTAACGAACTGCGGAGCGACATAGTTTTGCACTATGAGTTGAGGAGCGCGTTGTCGACTTGCGATTACGAGTTGCAGTCCTTGAGGCATCAGTACGAAGCACTAGCACCGGGAAAGGTAATCTTGCACGAGTCTTTGGAAGGATGCAGCCTCATATTTTGAAATTTAGCTAAGCCAATAACAGTCAGCACGGTTTTATGGCGGCTAAATTATTTTTGCCTCCTGGCAATGTAGGTAGTCCTGCCAATGGATGTAGAGTTATCTCATATCTCCTCTGTCTTAGACTTTAACCATACCACCGGCCCTTCTACCGAAAACTGAGCCAGAAGTCAAAGCAGATATTATTGACGTAGTAGGATCACCCAGCACGCCCAGTATTACTCATTAGTTATGGAACAAATGAAGAAGCAACAGGTGATCGAATAAACGTTGTAAATATTATATATTCTACTTCTTTGATGCGCCGGTGATTTCCTCGCGTGGAAAGTCAATGAGCACACGTCTCGTCATTAGTACTGTATTATATTACGAAACAGTTCTTATTTTGTGTACTATAAAAGAAATAAACGACTTGATGAAACGGACGGAGTCGTATTGTTGTCGACGAAGCCGCGACACGGCGAGGTATAGCGAGAAATGAGAGAACACGTGGAGATGGTAATTACTTATATATCTGTGTATTTTATATTGTCGACAAAAAGTAACAATGTACGGTCAAACCGTATAATTTATCTACAACAATCTACAATAGATTACAATATATTGTTTTGTTTTTGTCGAGGGTTCAGGAGGAGCGGCGGGGGGTAGAGGAGGGGGGGGGGGGACGAGGGCGGGACGGGGGGGGCA